CTTGGTGTAAGCATACAGTTCACGGAATCACCAGGTTTGCTGGTTTAACTAATAAATGTAACTAAACTAAGTATTTTGCTACTTTTTAGTAGATGCTATACTAAATGGCTTCAATGATGCGTAAATAGGTTAATAGCATTCAGCGGATGTAGTGTCTCACTTTCGTAGGAAAGATCAGACTTGGAGAAAAAGGTAGTAGAATATGAAAACTATCATGTGTTGTATGTGTCAACATTATTCATTGGTTGCTGTGTTTTAATTAGAATGATGTTATGCTGTAACTACTGTTTGGTTTGAATTATTTACGACTACAATGAGACTCAAATAAACATCTTAATGAACAAGTACCTTTGTATATGCGATACTATTCTGCTTTTCTGAACTTATTTTCCACCCGCATTATTCAGTTTGGAAGTTTCAGACCTACATATGAAGTCTGTAATTATGGTTAAAACATGAGCAAAAGCTCATTATTTTATTGATCTAAAGTTATTGGAACTGGTCTAGTTGATGTTCAGTTGCCCGGACCTTAGAAGGGTATCCAAGAAACATCAGTTAGCCTAACCATATTTAGTTGAATTCTCAGTCATACCTGAGCTGGATGGTTTGGTCGTGGAGCTTTCATCGTTCTTCTGAACGACATCATCAGCGCAAACTCCAGATAGAAGTGAAGTGTTCGAATTTCTCCATATGTGTTTCACAGCTTGTTCTGTGCACCTCGATGTTGATTGGTTCTTGTTGACCTTAAGTTTATCATTGTTTACTTCTTTGTTTTGGTTGTGCCATTGGCACACAGCATCAGAACCCAAGTCAAGCACAAAAACCAACAAAAGGATCACCCTACCGTATATACAAGGAATATCAGAAACCGCAACGAGACTGCTGAAAACCTTCGGGATAGGTGTGGCACACAAACCAACAAAATCACCACAATCAACCCTATGCAAACCAAAAGATGAAATAACAAAGGAAAACAAATCAAACATCATCTACAAAATAAATTGTACCAACTGCGACAAACACTACATCGGACAAAGCGGACGCCCCCTCCACCTACGCCTACATGAACATCAATTAGCAGTCAAACGCCATGATATCTCTTCACTTATATCAATACACGTGGATAACTACGGACACTCATTCGGTTGGGAAAAATGTAGAAATCTTAGACAGAGGAAACTCCAAAAACACCGGAGAATTTTTAGAAGCCTGGCACTCAGGTCAATCAACAAACATATTGAAATCAATCCAATTTATCAACCAATCAGAAAAATCATGCTTAAACATAGGGACAAAAATCAAACCAATGGGAGACACAACCAAAACAAAGAAGTAAACAATGATAAACTTAAGGTCAACAAGAACCAATCAACATCGAGGTGCACAGAACAAGCTGTGAAACACATATGGAGAAATTCGAACACTTCACTTCTATCTGGAGTTTGTGCTGATGATGTCGTTCAGAAGAACGATGAAAGCTCCACGACCAAACCATCCAGCTCAGAGAACAAAACTCCACCAAAATCATCCACCTGAGCTACAAATCTGCCCCACCATCTCAGTCATACCGTTTTGAAAAGGCATAATGATTCGGTTCAGGTGTATGTTGTGAGTTTCTTCATTGAAGCACTGGTACAATGAAAACTATTATTATTTTTTTTATAAATGACGATATTTTCCACAATCACTATTGATTGTGTTGACATTGTTTAGGGGATATCAAGATCTAAATGTCTGCGCAAGTTATGATTAAATATAGTGAAATGATGGGTGAACATACATATATTCCTTATATAGAACTTCTAATTGAGCAGTCAGTCAAGAATTTACAGAACAGAGAGGTATTTTAGCTAACCCTGTAACTGTAATGAAATCCAATCCAGGGAAAAGTATTTAGCTACCATGTAGAATGTATGTAGCAGAAAGTATCTTCGCTCCACCACAAACATACAAAACTTGAAAACAAGTTACTTGCGAATTCCGTATGAGTGTCTCATTTCATTAACAATTCGGAATGTATGTATTTGTTGGTAGTAAAAGTTTATAACATCCCATCCCTAGAAGACATGATTTATTGGATAACTAGTTAATACATTTAAGAATAAATCAGGGGCATCTGTTAAATGAACAACATGAACTCTTTCAAATGTTGCTTTTATTAGTTCATATTATTTTGCTGAAATATTTTTACTTCATGTCTATCTGAGCATATATATATATTTGATTGAGTTAGTTTATACACTGACAAAATCAGTTAGTAAATGTATCTTACCATTTAAATAGCATCTACCAGTTACGAATTGAAATTGCTAATATCTCGCTATTGTTACTAATGGTAATTTATTGAATGATATGACTAATAAAATGGACCGGTAAATTACTATGTTGGAACGGAAAACTATATATATATTTCAATTCGTAACTGGTAGATGCTATTTAAATGGTAAGATACATTTACTAACTGATTTTGTCAGTGTATAAACTAACTCAATCAAAAGTGTAGATTAGAGATAATTTCAGTAATTGAATCAAGATATATTATGTTAACTCATGAAGTTAGTTTCTGGAATGTGGACTTTCGAAGTAGGTTCTGTAAGATTTAGTGTTTGAAAAGATTTGAAAGTGAGTCAATATTTAAGAATATCAGCATAATTTCATCAAACCATCATATTGTTTTTTAGTGACCCGATATCTGACTCTAATTAGGTCGATATTGAATGACTGTTATTGAAATATTCATACAGCGCACCCTTGTATATACTCATCAACTTGCGTATAGTAACTAATGAAATTAAATAAGTCAAACACAAGAATAAATTTTGAGTACACATATTTCATGCAATCGTTGGTCTGAACAGATAATCAGGGAAAAGAAGAGGAGAGGAGACAGAGATACTAATCGGAGATGGTATGTGAACCAACTAGATTTAACCAAGCGTAAATCGATATTTGTAGTCAATTAAAGATAAGATACAGACATATGATGAATAGGGTAGGCAATATACGCACACACGATCACATAAAAAGCATTACTTCAACGTGAACGTAGACGTTAGACACAGCTCGACAAATATCTGGAAACGTGCAGATTTATTTTTGTTCAAGTCGACGCCGTTTGAAAACCGTTAAAGCAACCATGTGAAGGACCATACCGAGTCGTTAAACGGGCAACCAGTCACTTCATTACTAACAAAAGTGGAAAGAAGGGGAGTGTCTCGACAGATAGAGTAAAACCTGCTTTTTACGATGACCAAAAATAAAAATAAAATACTATTTTAGATATACAACCTACACCGTTAATTACAACGAAATCGGAGAACGACGAGAAACTAAGTAATAACCACACATGCTCAACGCGTTCAGGTAGAGTAGCGAGAAAGCCTAAATGCTATGTTCATTTTGTGAATTAAAAAATTTGTAATAAATGGCATATTATACAATACTCAATCCATTTGTTTTACTAATAAAAACCACACAATGTGTGTACAATTAGTCACACTTGTACTCGTCTGGCAACATTTTTAATTTTTGTCCTAATTATAAACAGGTAGATTTTCAATTTGTTTTCACTAATTAATCAAAAAATATTTATTGTGAATATACCAATAGTTCAATGTATTAATATCATTGTCAACCTAAGACATCATTATCAATTATATTTCCGCTTCTATAGTGCTTAACTAAATACACATAACTCTGTACTCCAATATATTTCACAGGACTAACACGCATGTCATATCTTGTAACATACATACATCTATTAGCGCAATTATTCCCCACAAAAAGCATTACATATTTATTTTGCATTTACTTTGTTTTTGTGTGCATGTATTCTTTTACCTCCTCATTTGTTGTACATACCAGTGTTACCTCCAGACACTGGTGGGAGTAATGTGGGGATAGCTAACATAGTTATTTTGCAATTAGTTTTTGTTATTATTCTCATGATTTGTACGATTACCATTATTGACCTTTGACCTTCCTTTCCGGTTTCTCAACCTCTCTTGTATGATACATTGATTATCGCCCATGAAGTACACTACTGCACACATATACTTCTCGTCCACAAAAATCCGCTGATACGACAAACTTCATTTATTTCATCACTGTTATCGAGATTATTTTGATTTCTTCGTTCTTTATCGAAATGTAATGTTTTGGAACAGTGATATCTAAACTTACATGATTACCTATTTAAGAAATTTTCAATAAAATTAACTTGAATGTATAACAATAAAAAACTAGTCTTGATAACAAATGACAAATAGACTTTCTTCTAATCACTGAAAAGTCCCCATTATATTAAAACAGATATATGAAGGACGAATATTCTTTGCAATAAATTCTCTTCAGCTTCTAAAATTACACATTCCAAATAATAATGCAAAGAGTGGCCAGGTTTAAAGTAAATAGGTCGTTTGAAATTATAACAGATCAATTCGGGATGATTTTGATTATTACCCTGAAGAAGTCCAGACAAGTTAGCTGGATGAAACGTTGAAATTATTCAAATTTCAATAGCTGAGATTATTTCAAATATAATTTCCACATATAATAAATTTGGGATTGCTTGCAAAATAACATAAAATTGTTAATGTTGCGATGACTAGTATGTAATGTTAACTTGAATAAGTTTATACATCAAATGAAATCGTAATTTTTGTTTGTTTAGTTAACTTACAACTAAATACAATCAACCTACCAAACAAGTAGAAAACAAACCATTTGTAATTACAGTGGTTGTTAAAGTATGCTCTAAGATTTCACTGACAAATTCGACTTAGCGCTTAACCTCTTTTTCATTTTTATGCTTACAGAACTTCAAGAAAAAACTTTTCTGTAAATAAAGCACACACACATAGATTTTAAGTTAGATCACTCTAGAAGCTAAAGTTATATATCGGTTGATGATTATCCTAGTTTATTTTTCTAACATCTTACTGCCTATTTCATAGGTCTGAATGGGATAAAACAAAAATCGATTTCTAATAATTTAGTGGGGCAAATATGTTGATTTTGTGGGAAACGTTGTAGTCAACAGCAAGTGATATCCAATATTTCAAACAAGGTAAGAGCAACAAGCCATAAGGATTTTCATCAGCTAAAAATAGCTGATATATATATATTAAATAAAACAGAAATAAAAAAATTAACATAATTTAGTGCATAAAATTAAAGCTGAAGTCTAAAACTGGACAGCAAATTATGACAAAACGGAGAAAATGTTACACAGTGTAGTTGATAAAATACTGGATTCATATACGTGGAAAATTTATACGAAGTAAGCGAGACAAAGACCATAAACGATAATCATAAACAGGTGACTGCATAAATGAATGAAGTTATGATAATAAAGTGGCTCCAAGTGGAATTCAGTGGATTGAAGTGATAGAATAGTATTGATTGCACATATGTTGGATGCCTTATATAAGAAAGGTCTTCGGTAGAATTATTACTCAAGTGATCTCCGAAGCATACTAAAAGCACCAAAATACAATAAAAAGCATTTTAATGTAATCGGAAGATAAAATAAATGTGGAATCCTGAGGTATAATAAGTCCGATTTAGTAAGAACTGTAGATTTTTTTTATTTTATTTCCAAATACCCTAAAATTTTCTAATCCAAGTGACTACAGAGCTCACATCTCACATGAAGAAATAAATAAAGATTCGAGTGATTAAACACTTTTTAAACTACCGTCTGGAGATTTCACGTTACGATTCCATTTCTTTATCTGATCACCTTTAGTTATGTTTTAAATTAATCACTCTACGAACACGGCACGCAGAGTTTCAAAACACCAACATAAGAAAACATAAGAAGATAACAGTATTTTCAATAGGGTGAATTTATAATCGTGAATAAATATCACCATGGTGAAATTCTCCTTTATTTCTATTCCCTTATTTTTCCGTTTTCTTCTTTGAACTCAATTCAATATTCTTCTCAATTACACAACTCCGCCTTGAGCCCCTCCGGGGACTACTGCCGGTCCCAAGCCCGGATAAAGGAGAAGGGTTCGGCATGGGGTTAGCGTCCCCATCCCGTAGAAAACTAACTCGCTAAAAAACGCTAACCAGAAAAAATTATTCAAACCTTTTAAACTCTGCCCTGGGAGTCAGAAGGTCTTCATTTAGAAGAATTATGACGCCTCATGATGAAAGCCGAATTCCTTCGGAAGTTACGAGGCCGATGCCCCTTCTGACAACCAGAGCGACCATTTATTTAGGTACATGGAATGTTCGTACAATGTGGGACACCGGAAGAGCCTTCCAAATTGCTGCAGAAATGAGAAGATACAACCTAGAGGTACTTGGGATCAGTGAAACACATTGGACACAAGTTGGACAACAACGACTAACTACAGGAGAGCTCCTGTTATACTCCGGCCATGAAGAAGAAAATGCACCACATACACAAGGAGTTGCATTGATGCTGTCCAAACAAGCGCAAAATGCACTTATAGGATGGGAATCTCATGGACCAAGGATCATCAAAGCCTCGTTCAAAACAAAGAAAGAGGGCATTTCAATGAACATCATCCAATGCTATGCGCCTACCAACGACTACAATGAAGACGCTAAAGATCAATTCTACAATAGGCTGCAGTCAATCGTCGAGAAGTGCCCAACAAAGGACCTGACCATTCTGATGGGAGATTTCAACGCCAAGGTTGGAACGGACAACACTGGATATGAAGACATCATGGGACGACACGGACTGGGAGAAAGAAACGAAAATGGTGAGAGATTTGCAAACCTATGTGCCTTCAATAAACTGGTCATAGGCGGCACCATATTCCCACATAAACGCATACACAAAACCACATGGACTTCACCGGATCACACTACGCAAAACCAAATCGACCATATTTGCATCAACAAAACGTTCAGGAGGACTATAGAGGACGTGAGAACCAAGAGAGGAGCTGATATAGCATCAGATCATCACTTGCTGGTCGCCAAGATGAAATTGAAACTCAAGAAGCACTGGACAACGGGGTGGACAATATCACAAAAGTTCAATACGGCCTTTCTTCAGGATACTAACAAACTCAACAAATTCAAGATAGTCCTCAGCAACAAGTTCCAGGCCTTTCATGATCTACTCAATGGAGAAGGAACTACTGTGGAGAGCAACTGGAAGGGGATCAAAGAGGCAATCACTTCAACATGTCATGAGGTCCTGGGTCACAAGAAGCACCATCACAAGGAATGGATCACTGTTGATACACTGGATAAGATTCAAGAAAGAAGGAACAAGAAGGCAGCAATCAATACCAGTCGAACAAGAGCAGAAAAAGCCAAGGCACAAGCTGAATACACAGAAGTAAACAAACAAGTGAAGAGGAGCATCAGAACCGACAAACGTAAATATGTGGAAGATTTAGCAACGACGGCGGAAAAGGCTGCAAGAGAAGGAAACATGAGACAACTGTATGACACGACAAAGAAACTCTCTGGAAATCGCCGCAAACCAGAACGACCAGTGAAAAGCAAGGAAGGCGAGGTAATCACCAACATTGAAGAGCAACAAAACAGGTGGGTAGAACACTTCAAAGAACTCTTGAATCGACCAGCTCCACTGAACCCACCCAACATCGAAGCAGCACCCACGGACCTCCCAATCAATGTTGGCCCACCAACAATTGAAGAAATCAGCATGGCCATCAGACAAATCAAGAGTGGCAAAGCAGCAGGACCAGACAACATTCCAGCAGAGGCACTAAAAGCAGACGTAGCGGCAACTGCAAGGATACTCCACATTCTCTTCAATAAGATTTGGGATGAGGAACAAGTACCAACAGACTGGAAAGAAGGACTTCTGATCAAAATACCGAAGAAAGGCGATCTCAGCAACTGTGATAACTACAGGGGCATCACTCTTCTCTCAATACCGGGAAAAGTCTTCAACAGGGTATTGTTAAACAGGATGAAGGACTGCGTAGACGCCCAACTTCGTGACCAACAGGCAGGATTCCGTAAGGATAGATCGTGTACAGACCAAATCGCAACTCTACGGATCATTGTGGAACAATCAATTGAATGGAATTCATCACTCTACATCAACTTCATTGACTATGAGGAAGCATTTGATAGAGTGGACAGGACAACACTATGGAAGCTTGGTGACATGGCTCAGAATCGATCACAATGGTGTAGGTGTATACACTCTATGTCTTTCCTTAAACTAAGAGATAAAAATCTCTTCATATCTTTATTTCAACGAACTAGTTCTTCCTACCTGTACTATATCCTTATATGCAATTTTTATTTATATATTACCACCATTGACTTAACCATTCCTATGAATCCGGTTTTCATCTTACTGTGCTAGTGCGGTATGGCAACTTAGACTGACGCATATGTGTGCCTGGCCCTAAGTTATAGCTGACTGACTGATGATGGGTTAAACTGCAAAATCGTGCATGGAGGACAATTGAAAAGCTCGTTCGAAGTAAAGACTAGTGTCAGGCAAGGTTGCTTACTCTCACCCTTTCTCTTCCTCCTGGTGACCGACTGGATCATGAAGACGTCGACATCTGAAGGAAAGCACGGGTTACAGTGGACATCTAGGATGCAGTTGGACGATCTAGACTTCGCAGATGATCTGGCCCTTCTATTACAAACGCAACAACAAATGCAGAAGACGACCAGTATAGAAGCATTAGGTCTCAATATACACAAAGGGAAAAGCAAGATTCTCCGATACAACACAACATGCACCAATCCAATCATACCTGACGGAGAAGATTTGGAAGATGTAAAAACCTTCACATATTTAGGCAGCATCATTGATGAACATGGTGGATCTGATGCAGATGTGAAGGCGCGGATCGGTAAAGCAAGAACAGCATATTTACAACTGAGGAACATCTGGAACTCAGAACAACTGTCAACCAACACCAAGGTCAGGATTTTCAATACAAATGTCAAGACTGTATGGGGCATAAACCTGGAGAACTACGAAAGCCATCATCCAGAAGATAGAAGTGTTTATTAACAGTTGTCTACGCAAAATACTTCGGATCCGTTGGCCGGACACTATTAGCAACAACGTACTGTGGGAGAGAACAAACCAGATTTTAACGGAGGAAGAAATCAGGAAGAAGCGCTGGAAGTGGATAGGACACACGTTGAGGAAAGCACCCAACTGCTTCACAAGGCAAGTCCTCACATGGAATCCTCAAGGCCAAAGGAAAAGAGGAAGACCAAAGAACACATTACTCCGAGAAATGGAAATAGACATGAGAAAAATGAACAAGAATTGGATGGAATTAGAAAAGAAGGCCCAGGACAGAGTGGGTTGGAGAATGCTGGTCGGCGGCCTGTGCTCCATTGGGAGTAACAGGCGTAAGTAAGCAAGTAAGCATTACTCTCTTTTTCAAATATGACAAATCTAATATTAGCATTATTGAAACTTGTGTATTATTGCATTTCTGAAGAAACCCGAAATGGTTTCTTCACAACCCTTATGTACCCGTTGTGGGACCCTTTATTTTGTTGTCATTTAAATTGGACGATTTTCGTCGAAGGGCTCTCCACTTAAGTGGCCCGAGATCTGACTCCAAGTAGATCTCATGAATGTTTGTTATCGCCATCCTTGTATATAATCATTGACTTAAATCACATTAGTCAAGAACAGAATTTAGATAAGTCAATTAACGAGAATGGATTTTGATTACATATATTTTTATACGTAAAATGAATGTAATAGAACAAAGCAAAACGACGCGCAGTGGAAATGGCGGGTAAGCCAACTCCCCTTTAGTCAAGCGTTAATCAATATTTATAGGCATATAAAAATTAATTGCAAACGTGTGATGAGTAATGGGATAAGAAGTGTGCACACACCTACGCGCTCATATAAAAACAGTCAAGACTGATAAGCGAATAATTGACAAGGTCAGAATGTGACTCAAGCAGAATAAATAGAATGGGCTGTCCGAAAGCTAGAATAAGGTATATGGGTTTAACATAATAACCAACACTACACCATAAGATGTTTGTGAATAGTAATAATAATAACTTATTGCCAAGGCGACGCTACGCACACACCGATGCCCCCGTTAGTATCGTGGTAGACGCATCCGACTCGGCAACCAATGGTCTCATACAAAACTTTGTTAACCACAACTGACAACCCTTGGAGTGCCTCCCAAGATGGTTGCTAGACACCGAATCGAGGTATGGCTCATTAGGTAGGGAACTCCTAGCTATGTATGGTGCTGTACGGCACTTCCAATACTTGGTTGAAGGCCGAGAATCCACTCTTTTCACCGATCACAAAACTCTTACCTTCTAACTAAGCTCGTCTTCAGACAAGTACTCAAGGGTCTCGGCAAAGTGACTACATTTCACAGTATACTGCACATATAAAATACATTTCTGGGCCAAACAATGCAGTTACAGGTGCATTGTCTCGTACAACTTCTTTGAAATGTGTAGATCACAAACGTAGATGATCCGTGTTGAATAAATGGGGGCTTACTCGAGTTGAACGGAAACGGTGTGATACACCTGCTAGGTTCGAAGTCACACCTCGCGGCCAGCATCTCACGTCAATTACCTCTTCGACGTATCGAAATACTATGGCTACTTTGAAGACCGTATAACACAAAGGACGTCACTACGGAAATATATTAGTATGAATAAGGATAGGGAAGATAGCATGAACATCACCGCATGCGTCATTAACGTAGAGAAGGAAGAGAAGAGGGCCTGAGATGGTGGCTTAGGGTACACCACTTTTGACCGGCTTCCAGTCGGATAGCGTTCCATTGACCCTCACTCTCTGTCTGCGGTCACATAAGACGTTTCCTATCCCTCCTATACAGTACCTATTATTCCAAAGCTCGTGAGATTCTGCATAAGACCTAAGTGCGAAACCTTATCAGATGCTTTGCTAAAATTTATGAATATCACATCGACAGGCAGACCTTTGATTAAGGCTTCTGTCCAATCCTCTCTAGCAATAAGCAAGTTAGTCAAGCATGAACGCTTGCTACGAAATCCATGTTGCTCATGAGCTAACAGATTGTGTGAATCTATGTGGCTTAGCAACCTTACCAGACTTATCTTTTCAAGTAACTTGACGACAATGCTAGTTAGACTGAAAGGCCGGTAGTTAGATACTATCTGTCTCTGACCATCCTTAAATAAATGACTGGTCCAGCAGTGACGGATCATGTTTCAATTCAATACGCATCCATTATGCGGAAGAATGTATGTGTTTTGGTACAGTTAAACAGACAAGTACGGCAAAACAATCCCTGATACAATTGGTTATAATAATAATTGTTTCCATTACATCAATCGCGTTCTCTGGATAAAAGTAGATCACTACAACCACATTCGAAATTTGTATACTTAAAATAGTCTGGCAGTAGATCCTTGAGGGTTATATAAGAAAGCGAAATGGGCTTTTCCAGTAAAGCCAGAGTTTTTACTAAGCTATGTGCTTCTTTTCCGACTAATGTGAGGAAATATGCCACAATATTAACATCCCCATCATCTTCCTTGGTCATAGTCTGGATTTCGAAACTTTCAAAATAATCCTCAAAAGTACAAAAATCCGAATGTATGTCCAACCGTTCTATTGCAGGCTCCATCGCGAAGCCTATATGATGATTAGGAGTGTTTGAATCTTAGGACAAATTAAGAATCCTAGAAATAACGTAATCGATCAAAAAGTACTAGATAAGCGCAGACGAATGTACTGTATTCGGAATTCGAAATCATACATCCAAAAGGTGCAAAGGAATCATTAGTTCATTCAAACACCACAGCAAGTTCGAATTTGAACTTTTCCGTTGTTTTGCTACACTAATGGGAATCACATGATTACGAACGACTGCTTACCGCCCATCTGCTCACGGGTTGGCAGAACGATATTACGGACAGCCCCACTCTCAGTTGCGAACGTTACACAGTTGACCGGCGCTTTTCCACTAGTTTTACTCGGTATTCGTAATGCAGTCAATGTTGAAATTGGATACACTCATCTGCGAAGCGACCGTCCAACTTCAAGGACAATTTGTGAATCGTCCACCATTGTTAACGATTATTGATCTAAACTCTCACGCGAGCATACTTACAAATGCCATGCGTTCAGTTAAAACTGTTTCCAATCAACCACAGTCAACTGATGTTTTCGTTCAACCTGACTAACGACATAGTACATATGTTTTCTTACGTCACGATTCATTACGACGACCCCTCGAAAAGGCATACGAACAACCCTTCAACTCCTTTATCATGAATCTAAATAATATTTTATTAATAAAACCTGGGCGAATTCAGTGTTGATCGTGTCAATTCGCGTATTTAAAAGGAGACCATAATAATGTGGACTTTCTTCACCTAACAATCATAACCTAAATATGCCAACCCAGTCAAATCAGAAGTGAAGAATGAAAAAGTTCGAAAATATATTTGGAAGGCTATCTGTATGTCGAAGGAACGTTTGGTCTAAGCTGGCTGGTAGTTGAGAGGGATGCGTAGCACAGCGTATCCACTCGTGATCTGATACCGGTGCGTAACCGAGCGCGTTCAGCTAGGTGAGTCCAGTAAAACTAATGGGGTCAGCATCAGGTGTCAAAGACTTGTGGATCTATTGACTTTGGGGATTTATTTATGGCTACATACTAAAGTGAAGTAAGACTCGCCCTTGGGTTTTCACACTGTGATATGTTATAATTTGTACACTAATCTTCATTATTCTTACTGTATTATGCGTCAGTTGTTTTACTATAACGCCATCATGATTCGCTGCAACTTCTAATGCAGGCAAATCATTCTGATCTTTCCATATATTAAAATCGTTGACTTGGGCACTTGCATATGGCAATACGTACGTTTCCATGTGCTTTCTAGTGCCTTTTTGAGGGTGACCAAACTTAACTCACTATTTCGTCAGTTGGTGTTGTACCAAACTATAGTGCTTCATATATTAGGTCTAACTATTATCTTTTATCTGCTTTCACTTTTAGCATATATGAAAAATATATATCCCAAATGCAATTTGTATTCAACTTTCATTAGTTCAAATCAACTCTATATATCGACAGAAAGTATACAAAGTGTATAGGATATTCATTTTATTAGCATCATTTTTCAATCCTTCGCGAGTCAATAATACAGGCACACAATTGGCACATGAGAATCTCATCAACCAAGATACGCGGTATACAGAGAACAGGCCACTCACGATCTTCAGATAATTCGATAGTGTTTCTGAGCTGAAGAAGACGATAAGGACCCGGGTGAATAAGGTACCTGAACTTAAAATGAGACAACTGAAATACAAAATAGTGATCCATCAACCCAGAGAAACAGTTCGTTGCTTGGCCTGTGAGAAAATATGGTGAAGGTGACTGCCAAGCAGTTAGTACATAGTGACACCTGCTGAACCTATCAAGACCATCCTAAGTGTCAAAAATTATTCTACTGAGAAATTATTCATCGTTCAAAGAATTGTCTCGTTCTATCCTGCTCACGAACAGTCAAAACAAGCCTCTACATTTGTCTGAATAAAAAACCTTTATCTTGGCTTAGACATGTACAAACAAGTATCAAGTTCAGTGTTTCTGGTTAAGAATATATTGCAGACTGATTACTGTTATGGAAAAATATATGCTCTTATGGCTGTCCAGTAGTCTCGAATTTCACGTTTCAGTGATATAACAATCATTTCATACAAAACAATATTTTTGAGATACAAGAATTATGCATAACCATGTTGTTGAAACATTTAGTATTTGTTTTTGTCGACCGATTTCTACGTTGTCACTATTACAAATAATTTCTTAGTTCCTGTTAGGATGTTGTCGGGTTGCTCAATTTATATTGGTTAGTCTCAGAAATAAAATAATGTGGTTATTTCCAGAGCTTTTGTTTCTTGTGCTTTTATCACATTCTAGTAGCGATGTACACGGGATTACAGAAACAGCTGGTAAGTCACATGACTTTCATAAGTATACCTATGAAACGTCTTTTTTTAAACTGATACAAAACTGTAGCACCGATTGGCCTAAATTAATGAGTTAAGTTTATTAATGCTAAATCCACTGAAGTTCGTTTCCGATACACTGACATATACGTCATGTACTTACAGGTATTTATAAGTACACCAGAATTTTCGAATATTTTTTGAAAATCTCCGACATTTCCTCGAAATTCGAAAATTGGGATGTTTTATACTAATTTACTGAATACTGTGTATATGCTGAAGTATTATTCGTATTGTGGTGAAACTATATTGGTATTGATTGTTATAATCTTGGAGATTATTATTACTAGGGCAACTTACAGTACAGAAGCTCTTTTTTCAAAATCCATCAACAACATGAGGAGGGACTCTTTAAATACCGACAAACATACGGATTTCAGTTTTGTATGTCGCATATTGCTGCTCGTATATTTGTTTCTGTATCTCAGTCTCGTCTGTTGTGGATGGTATTTTGGGTAATGTAGAAAAACAGAGTAGAGTATTTGAGTTATTTGGAAACGTTTTGAAAGAAGAGTTTTTAATCCTAAAAACGTTCAGGATTTGATATCTATTGGCATGTATACGATAAATTAGATATGCTCTGGCTTAAAAAAGACGTCCCCAATTTAAATATTAGCTGTCTTTCCAAAAAGTAATTATTATTTGGGCATGTGCCATAGAAGCGTATTTTTGCTTACTCCTAGTTTTGTCTTAGCATTAAATACAAACAAGTCATACAAATATAATTTTAGCTGTGTTCTAGCAAATAAAAATTATAGGAACAGTGGCAACTTCAAACATTTTGATTCTTCGGAATTAAAGAATATACTGATTATTTAAGTGACTTCTCCCACAAACTTTATTCTCAAATGTTCTACGCCCGTCGGTTAAATCTAAAGAAAACTGATCAACCTAAGATTTGGGATGATAAAATTCAAAACTTGATTCGTGGTTAAGATGCAGAGATACAACTAATTCATGCAAAATCAAACAGATTATTATATGTTGCATAAATTATGTGGATGTACATGTCTATTCATGCAAATTAATCAAAAATATTAAACTCATCTGCAAAATGGAATCAAAGGGGAGAATCAACAAACAGATCTCCCTGCTATATATAAAAGACATGTCGGAAACTACAACAAAATTATTGAGGTCATTTGGAATATGTCCAGCATATAAACCATAAAAACCACTCAAATCAATTCAGTACAAACCAAAGGATGAAGGGACAAAAGAAGGAGGATCAAATATCATTTACAAAATGAACTTTCAAATGCAAGAAAAACATCGTACCAAGTAGTCGCTTTCTTTATTTTCATCTGCGTCAATACCAAATAGCTATCAAGCTTCATGATGTACCTTTGCTCATATCAATGGGTGCGGACAGTTGAAAACAAGATAGATTAAGGAAATGTTGAAACGTTAGATGAAAAGAATACTAAAGATACTAGAGAATTCCTAGCCATCAATAAATACACCCAAATACATAAAGTTTATAAACCAGTTTGAAAAATTTTGAGTGAATATAAGATCCTTATTCAGATCCAAGTGGATTGCAACCAGAATAAATATGCAGACAACGACGGGGTAAATGTCAACAATGAACATTAAAAAACAAGGCTAAAAGGGAAACTTGTCCGTTATATGTGAAGAAATTAAAATATATTACTTCTATCTGGAGTTCATGAAAATGATGTGGTTCGGAGAAATAATAAAAACTCCATTATGAAATGATTTAGCTCATACAACGAAACTCAAACAAACACATTGAGATGCTAGTTCTCTTGGTTTTCTTTCACAACTACTGCAGTCTTTGTCAGTCATGGAAATAAATATTTAGAATATCGATAGTTTCGGTTTGCAAATTTTAGTGTAGATAGATAAATCAAGGGGTAATTGGGTTTGTATTGCCTGAGGTAAAATCGTAGATGTTTATGTACTCATTACGCTTTATTAAGAGTCATTTATGCGTATATCCAGTAGCAAAAATATCTTATGGTAAATGAAGCTTGGATAAATGAGTAGGGTTGAGCATCGGGCCAGCAACTCCTTCCCATAGAAAATAATCTCTTTAACGTAATGTTAACCACAATAAACAATTTAAGGCATGTAAATTCTGCCCTACGAGTTAATGGATTTTCATTAGAAAGAATCATGACGTTTCACGGTAAAGGATGAGGTTATCCGGAAGTCAAGAGGCCGATGGCTCTTCTAAAATCTCGAAGAACAATTAATATAGGTACATGGAATGTCCTATGAGCATTTGATAGCGTTTATAGTAAGATCTTATGGAACCTCTTTTGACACTATGGCGTACCTGAGAAGATCGTCAAAATCATCCGGGACTCATAGGACAGGCTACAGTGAAAAGTGGTACATGGAGAACAGCTGGCAGACGTATTCCAAGTGAGGACCGGAGTCAGATAGGGCTACTTACTCTCCCCTATTTCTTTTTCTCAGTGTTTGATCTCCACATCTGACGGGAAACACGGAATACAATGAACATCTTGCATGCAACTAGGCGATTCGGACTTCGCAGACGCCCTGGCCCTTCTATCTCATACACACCAACAAATGCAGGTTAAGGCAACCAGTGTAGAAGCCGTCTCTGCGGCAGTAGTTACCAACATACACAAAGGTAAAGGCAAGATCTTCAAATATAACACAGAAAACACCATATCAACCACACTTCATGAAGAAACTCCGGAAGATATGAAATTTCACGTACCTGGTCAGCATCGTCGACGAACAGGGAGGATCTGAGGCAAAGATAGAGGCGAGGATTGGCAAATCAAAGGCCACACTACTACAGTCGAAGAGCACATGGAACGCAAAGCAATTGCTAACCAATATCAAAGTAAGAATCTTCAATACGGACGTCAAGACAGTCAGTTCTACCGTACGGAGCTGAAACTTCGAGAACTACCACAACCATCATCAAAAGTCACAAGTATTTCACATAATTGCCTACGCAAGATACTAAATGTCCGTTGGACCGATATCATCAGCAACAACCTACTGTGGAAAGGGACAAACCATCTTCTATTTGAGGAGGAAATTAGGAAAATATGCTGGGAGTGGGTGGGACATACGTTACGAAAATCACCAAACTGCATCACGAGGCAAACCTTAACTTGGAATCCTGAAGGGAAGCGGAAAATAGGAAGACCGAAGAACACACTGCGCCGAGAATCGGAAGCAGACATGAAAAGAATGAATAGCAACTGGAAAGGATTGCTCAGGACAGGGTTGGATGGAGAGTGCTATGCTCCTATGCTCCTTCACGAGAAGTAACAGGCGTAGATAATTAAAATTAGATAAATCATAAATAAGTGACAAAGTCTATAATAAAGCTACACATGAAGGTGATTTTCGCTTTATTTTGTATGAGCAAAAAAGAAAATGGTTGTTTTCCTGACTCATCATCAAGTGTAAGTGGACGTTGTATGTGATTTTAGTGTTAATATAATCTCTACTTTGGTTAATAAGCAAAGTCCTGTAGACTTTGATAGTTTCTTTAATATTTTTCACATGACGCTGAATATTGTGTTTTTTATATAGTCGTTTATATTCATCAAAATTGAACAATGGAATTTCCCAACACACTTAGTCATTGCCTCATTGAGCTGCTCTGAATAATGTTTGAAAGAAAACTATGGTCGTTCTATGTTATTCTAGAATATAAAATTCATGATTGACCCATACCGAGCTGAAATTCAAGTACAGAGAACCAGTAAAACTGGGCAAGTCTTAGATTGGACTTGGAATATATGGGCTGGATAGCATCCTTAAAACAAGCCCGTCGTTAAATGACTATAGCTTTATGTTTTGAGCTTAACATAATATTTGACTTCATTTGAACATGGCCTTAAAAGTTTTTATTTAAAGATCTTTTACAGATTGTTTTGCTTCTTGAGTACTCGTTATTCAACTTGAATTAGCCACTTGATATGACATTGTTTGTAAATGTAAAAAAATCAGGACTCAGTGCATAATTTTAATAACAATGTGGGGATATTTTAAGTAATATATTTATCTGTTGCATTTGTCTCCGGTGCTGGTAACGGCCAACCAACTAACTTATCTATCTTTTATGGCATCGTTGGTAGCCTTATATGAACCTTACATATTCTCAACTCGTCAATCAGAACACCACAAGGCCAAAATAGTAGTCATAGCTTTCTAGGCGTACGGCTATCATGTTTATATATTTAAAATATTGAAGCATAATGCACGACAAATAAACTACGAAACGTACGTTTCTCTGGCCTTTGTTAAAGCACAGCTAATTAACGCATAGCTAACTGTAATTTTTGAACAGTAAGCGATAAAACAACAAATAATTGATTAAATGATAGCTTATTATCATAGTTTTTTTTTAAAAAAACATTAAATTAATTATTTAATAAAATTACATCCCAACTTACTCAAGAAATGACCTTCTGGGTTTCATATTTTAATTTTCTCATCACTCACTAACGACTTTTCGTCGATAATGTTCCTTGGGAATTAGACCGTAACAAAGCATATTATTTAGCATACTGATTACTTCGTATTCTCACTAACCCTGGTTAAACGTATGCTTGATGAGATTTCGGTTCACAGACAAGAGATTCATATGAACTGTTAACTTTCCTTTCTTAGAGGTATGTCCACAAGCTTGTTAGAAATTAATGTTGATATTTAACAGTCAATTTTGTTTACCGTGAGATCCACCGAACAGTGAAAGTGATAGAATAAGTATTTAACAAACATTGATTTAATATATGGGAATCACAAAGATATTTTTTGGTGCTTAGTATAAATTGATTGGTTACGGGATAATTCCATTAAAAAGATCGCGTATTTTTATCTCTTAAAATGTCTGTGATTTGGGCTTTATCCGTCTTGTCACACATATTGTAAAATGTATTAAGTTGCTGTGACTAAATATGGCACTTGGTCACGAAGCCCCTAACTGATCGTATAAATCAAATAGAGGGGCCAGGGATTTCTTGGTAGATTTCACGGTACATAGAGGAAAGTAGTAAGAGGCTCACACTTCTACGATTAGTTTCCTATCTTAATGACTCATAGTCGAATGTTCTTGGAGCTTTTTTAATTTTATAACCTTGCTTGTTATCATTTGTATTTTCATTGTAGTTCCTTGTTAACTTTGGCGCTACAACAGTAATTTAATCGAGTTTCCTTCAGTCAATCTCCCTTGTTTGCGTTGAAGTAATGTGTAGCTACTAAGAACAATACATATTTTTCTAGGTTTTGCGTTGTTACTATGTTTCTGTCTGTTTTTTCTAGAAATAGCGAATGAAATGCCTGTTAATAGAACTCCACTTTTACTTGCTATTTACCAGTTATTTTTATCCTGTCTAGAATATTTTTGCAATGTCTAGTTTCTGACGTTATCTATTTTTCTTGTCATTAGATGACTAGGATGTAAGGTTTTAACGTTTAAATGTTTGATTCACTATGCATCAATTATTGGATTCTCTTAAAAGTGCGTAATATAAAAAGACTTTCTGAAGAAACAACCCTTGAAACCATTAAAAATACACTAGTAATATTTTGTCGATAGTTCACGTGGTATTCCATTTTCTTTTTGAACTGTAAACTAGCATACTTAAAATCTAGAAGCTCAACGAACAACAAATGAAAGGTTATCATTAGACTGCTCAAATTACTTATGGTCCACTTAAGTATGTGTCTGATCTTGCGAACTGAAGCTTCACAAACTAGTAAAATTAACCATTTTGTTTTAGTGCATAATATGCCATACATGTATTATGACAGATAAATTACAGACCACAAATATCATTCACATGAGACTGCTGTAGATCTGTCGAATATTTTAGAAAGTAACAATGATAGGTCGCTTGATTATCTGTCATCTAAGGAATCTTTGACTATGAACTTAACAATGTTTATTGATAATGGCGAATAAGGAACCAATATTTTAGTCTTTAAGCAAAGTTTGTCTGGCTAAATTGTCTACTGGTTCAAGCAAAAAGTTTTTCCTTACACCTACCGTCTATACTCCAAATAAAATTTCCCATTATTCAGGTTATGCGACCTCGTCAAAATCTTCGGAGACAGAAGAAACGGAAGCGACTGATTATTCTGATGACATAATTTTTCCAGTCATGAATGTATCTTACAATGACATGACTGCCAACGGTACTAGTTTACCATATTTACCTACAACAACAACAACCGATGAACCTAACTCGACAACATGGGAATCAGCCACTACAGTACTTCAAAACACAACAGATCATTCAAATGATTCGACTATAGCGATAGAAACAACGGAAACAGCTACAACAATGGGAGTGACAACAAAGAAATGGAGACAACAACAGTAACAACGGCAACAGATATGATCACAACAGTTGTACCTATTCCAAATGTACACAAATTTTCGCTGAAAAATGGAAGCTCTTACTGCCTTCTGCTTCAAAGCGATATAAAATTTCAAATTTTCTATCACAGTCAGGTAAGAATATGCATTGTTTAAAAGGGATATTGTCGAAATTCTCCCTAGAAAAATCACAAGTTTTTTATGTACCATTACATTTCCTTATACAAGTAGGCTAAATAATTCGTCAAAAATATACTTAGTTTACAATATCCTTATGATTTGTTCTGAATTAGTTGGAACAATTTCTGTGAATAACGTTTTTTCCACTGTTTTAGGTATCGTCTATGGTGGAATGCATAAGCTCATATAATCGTGAATAATTTTATTTATTGTTATCAAATCATTATGACTCCCGTTTTTTTATTGGCTTTTTTGCAAATATTACTAGATTTTCTTTGAATAAATCTATAGATTTGCATGAACCTGATGTTTAGTGTGATGTGCATAAATATCATTAACACTGAATTGATATACAAAGAAGTATCCCAAAAGGGTATAACGAATATGTATTATACCGTGAGCACATAACTGATACATGAAGATGTATTACTTTTATTGTTTAGGAATAATTTCGAAACTTCCACAGTCAAACATCGAATTTTAGGAAACCCTAGTTTTTTGTCACACTAGCTTATTGTCAATTGTATGCCTTTGCTATACATAAACAAAATAAGGAATTTGATTAGCTGGTAACCAGTTGTTAGCTTTGGGAATAATTTTCTCTTAACTTCTCTCATATAAAGACTGTCTAAGAATCACTACTTCAATATTTTTTGAGTGATTTAACACAAAATCTAAAATTATTTCTCGAGGATAAATGAAAAATCCACATAGAAGTTCAGACGAATATGGCTTTTGTGAATGTATTTAAAGTCTTAATTAGACGGTATTGACTATATTCTCCGAGCCGTGATCTTTGTTCACATCCAGACAATGAAGCAGACTATTCAGATTTTGAGCTGGAACATCCAGATGGTTTTTTAAATTTGATAATTAGATTTATAATGCAACACTTGTAATTGCATATGGCTTACATCATTTTAACTCATACGCAGAAAAAGTCAAGGCATATTAAATACGTAGAACCAACTGTCAATAGATAGCAACGTAATTTCTAAGGGTGTACTAAATATCTGATGAAAATCTCATTTGTATTTTCAGGATCATGAAATATGATATTACTTGTAACGTCTTAAAAAGTTTTCTACTGGTTTGTAACTCGAGTTTTTTTATCCGTAATATAGTAAATCAGTGTCAGACGTTATCCAGTAACAAAAGCAAATTGTTTAGTATGCAGTCTGAGCACACTAGCTATGTATTTTTGGCACCAGAGATTTCCAACTACTCTAAATAAATCCAGGAATTAGTTACCACAGAGATATGCATTTTTGCATTTCCATTTTATTTTTATGCCTGTATTCAGCTTTATAAATTCCATGACAAACTACAATTCACAGCTGCGTTGAGGACATTTTAAGAGGAAGAATGGATCAGAAGACCATACAACTCTTAAGAGATTTTAGTCACATTAATTGATTCTAGTACTTATCTCTAACCACTGTGTGTGTGCTTAAAATAGTAGGATTCGATGATATATTTAAACTCAATTATTGAAATTTATCTACTGTTGTTAGTTTTTTATGTACCAGTTACTTTTAAACTTGATTATCATTCCTCTTATAAATTGTGTTCCATTTGAAAAATAGAATAAACTGGTAAAATCTTACGAATTTACTGTATCTAATGCTACTATTAACGATAATGAAAGTGTATGTAGTGAACATTATACAAAATTATCACTCACGTTCATACCATATGGACAAAACGAAGAGCATAAGTGGACATTAGTTCTTTTGTTTAATGTTATGGAACCAAACAAAACTTCAAATGATGCGACTACTGTGAGATCTACTTATACATTGAACAGTTTAATATTAAATTATTATATGGATAAGACTTTATTTCCGGATGCATTGACACCAGGCAAGTTATGTCTTTTAATACTTATTCTTATTTTCTATTATCACTTAGCTAGGTTTGAGCTTCTGTTTTGGCATCCCTAAGGTTCTAAGTTACAAAATTACTTAATTCTCACTCAATAAAACAACTGTATGACTGTAAAACTGAAGCATTCCGTTATACTTGTAAGGATTTATGATAAAGTTAAGTAGAATTTGTAGTCGTCATATCCTGTTACTATCAACTAGTAACAAACTTCATGTTATTAAATAAAGCCAGAACGAACATGGATGCATAATAACATGAATTCATTATATTTTGTGGTTTCTCATCAGCTGCTTATAACCAAATATGTATTAAAATTTTGCATTGAGGGTAAGATATATTGTGAAACAATTGACATCTTATTTGTTACTCCTCGTGAAGGAGCATAAGCCACTCACCAGCATTCTCCATCCAACCCTGTCCTGGGCAATCCTTTCCAGCTCCTTCCAGTTCCTATTGATCCTTTTCATATCTGCTTCTATTTCCCGACGTAATGTGTTCTTTGGCCTTCCTCGTTTACGCTTCCCTTCAGGATTCCAAGTTAGGGCTTGACATAAGCGAATATAAAGAATTGGAATAACAAAGGTTATCAATAATAACTATATATGTGTGTGCAAGTACAGGTCGGAGGTTATTTGGTGTTAGAATCAAATAGCATGGGGATGAATGATATAATAATTGAGTGAAGTTCACAGATAAGATTTGATGATTAAAAATCAAAAACACGAAGCGCAGAGAGGGTATCTCTTCAGTGAATTTATTATAATTAAGATAACCCATAGTGTCATTGAATAAGAAAAAGAGAATTCAGCGAAGAAAATTTTCTTTTCAACGAAATCATTTACTTAAGCTGTACATTCGTATATGGAAAATGTATGTCTATAGGAGGATAGAAAAAATTGCATCACAAAAATAGATTCGAGGATAAATAGCAAATGAGGTTACGTACTAATCAAGGGTAAGGTAGGAAATAATTTATGGGTCAGATAATAGTCCAATTGACAAATATGAAGATTAGGGACAAACACATAGGTCATAATAATAGACTGAATAATAATCAAGATAACTTGTATAATGTAATAATAATAATAATAATAATAATAATAATAATAATAATAATAATAATAATAATAATAACTGGTTGGAGTTGAAAATGCAAAGTAGTAATTTCAGAAAATTCGATAATAATCAAATAAAAGTGCAGAAAAAACAAAAAAAACCATTAAGAGAATTAGGGCCAAGGAAGGATGAGAGGTTGGACAAACCGTTTCTGCACGCAAAGTTCGGGCTTGAGTTCGTGAATTGCCAGCGCCTCAGCAGTGCATAAAATACTGATATATATATATATATATATAATGTAAAGATACTGAAATGAATAGGTATAATAAGAAATGAAAGAATTTACCATGGGAAACATTCCATTGTCTAAGTCTAGAATATTGTCTGGCTCCAATATATGAACAAGTCATTTTCATATAACTGATACGAAATGTATTCTTTTCTCCATTTTAAAGATCTCCTTTAAACTTACAATGAAATTCAAATGAGTCTCTTACTAGTGATCTGATAATTTTTTAGTGAAACGTTTGAAGATGGACCTCTACAGAGCTGCTGAACTTTTATTTAGTTATAGCAGTATTTGAAGTTATATGCTCACAATTGAGAAGAAACTACTTAGGTCACTAAATAAACTCTGAACACATAGTGGTCTTACTTAAAAAAACTGGTCTCTAATTTTTCAAATTTCTATAGTTTCAAGCATCTAAGTTAATCAATTTCAACAGTTCTAAAGAACGAAAACACAGGCGGCTGAGAAGAAACGTTTAAGCATTTCTCATAATCTTATTTAGATTTATTCATTCTTTTTTTATTATCTTAAAGTAAATGTGTCCTCAATATAATGTACTCGTAATTGTTAACTGGTTGTAGGGAGTTAGTAAATATCCTGGATTTCGATTTTATGTATGTTATCTGTATTAGTTTCCATCATGTGTCATTTGGAAAAACAAAACAGTTAGTGTAAAATTAGTAAGATGGTCATAACAAGGGCGGCCTGCTTGAGCATTTGGGCTACCTGTTCCTGCCATCCAGATATTTCAGCAAGTTATCTATTTTTGTTTGTTTTAATATATCAATATGTTTATTAATCGCATGATGTATTGTGCTGCGTTTCTGAAAAGTGTACAACCTTTTGTTTTCAAAGTTACAAAAAACTCAATAAGAGACAATGTGGTTGCTCTCAATATACAGCGAAAAGAATGCACATTTTTCAGATGTTCATTTACTGAACTGCTAACATCTAACTGGCGATCACTCAATATTTATCGCCAGGACCGACCAAGAAGAAAGAAACGGAAACTTGTTGAAATACTTTACGCTGAGAATTCTATATTGTACCAAAAATATAATATTGAATAAAGCTGATAATAATTATAATTCCATATAGGTTTGTAATTTGCTGTTTCTAATTCTATCATTAGGTCAATATGTTAATGTGTCCAGTAATAATATGGTATTTAGAATACCTGTTGGATCATATTATTCATGTTTGATTGTACCGGAAATTACCCTGACTGGAAATGAAAAAATCTTTAATAGTTGCAAGTTATTTATGAAAAATTTGAAAGTAGAAGCATTCATGAACAATTCTGTGGAAGCATTTATTGGAAACGGCAAGTTGTATTATCCTAATCTGGTTTGTTGTGAATATCGTTCCACTTGCATTGTTAACCCTTAACACTTACTCATAATTACCCGCTGGTGTTAGAAGTTCATTGAATTATAGTAAACAAAAAATAAGGTTTGTGAAAACCAAAAATTATATATCTTCAGCACGCTAAACAACAGTATATTACAAGAATGAACTGAATTTTAGTCACTACCTCATTTATGAGGTTTCCATTGCATATAATAGTAAAAACACAAAGAATACAACATTAGAAATCCACAAATTAATATTATGAAACTAGTTATTTCGTATCTTATTTCATTATTATAAATAATAAATGCCAATCCTGTTTACATCATCTTATCATTTGGTGAGGTTTGTTACTTTCTATCTGATAGTAGCAGCAGCAAAATTCCTTCATTTGGAGTAAAATAAGTTTATAAAAATCGTATTAACCTTAAAACAGTTTTAATAGCATTGGTTTTTATTATGGAATTAACATTGTTTGAACTAGCAGATCCAGTTATACCTTTTTGACTAAAGTAAACTGACTAGAAATTGATCTGAAATATTGTGTAATTTTATCGACCAATAAGTTAAACGTTTTCACTTACACGCCGTTTAATAGTAAAACTCTTAGAGAGTGCTTTATTCCCAAAATGTTCAATCAAAATGGTAACTCACCTTTTTTGAATTAAAACTTAATAGAAATTTAAATTTGTCACCATATTGTTAGATTCTTGGTAGTTCATCCCAGAAGCTACAATTTTCACCGTAATCAATAGTACTAAGAGGAATTAATAAATTTACTGTGGCTGTTCATTTTAGCCTCCGAATTTATTTTCTTTTGAAATAATAGCTGATTCAAGTCAAAGGAAATTATGCTTTCTGAGTTTTGTGTTTAATAAATAGTTCATCTAGTGTGCACTACAGTTTTCTTGTTTACTAGGAATATAAATGTTTAATTTGTTACTAACCGATTAAATTACTATGACGTATCCGTAAAGTAATTAATCCTAAAAAAATACATGGATACTATCAATACTACTTAAAAATCAGGCTGCCAGAAAAATCTGAGATTTAACTATTTTTCACTTAAATATACTTCATTTAATCAGTTTTATAGAAATAAATATTAAAAAAATAGTACACCTAATTCTCTACTTGGATATATTTCTTCCGTTAATAGATATAGTAATCTTTTTTCGAGATTACTGTTATCTACTTATCGAGGAATTTGTCACTATAGTTATAAAATATTATTACGAGCTAATAAAATTGTTTCATAAACCAATGTTTCTCCGTTTTTTGTTATACAACATTTAACTTGTATCAAAAACTTAAGCTTATAAGCATTAAATTTTAATCTTTTACGGAAGATTACTTCCGAAATAACTTGTTTGTTTTCAATACTTAACCCTTCCCCTTTAATTTTCTTTTTAACAGAAACGTTATGTGATTCAGATGTTAATGTTAATAATATGGTACCTATTGGTGTTGGTATTGCACTAATTGTCTGTATTGTGGTTGCCATAACTGTATTTATTGTTTTCAGCAAACGCAATCGTCGTAGTTACACTACACTTTAACTAAATGAGTTCCCTTCATGTACGAATTTATCTTATATAATGTATCGCATTCTTATGTGTTTTTAGGTATTTGCACGTTTGTATGTATGTATGATTAAGTATGCGTTTTCCAGCATGGGGATTACTAACTGAACTGACTATCATTTGACACATTCAGGTATTTCATGTAACCTGTCGTGTTTTACTGATAACTCAATTTGTGTTTATATATTTTAACATTTTCAATATCTTCCATTACTATTACCGAACAATTCAGTCAATTTACGATTACATGATGTGATTTTTATCAACATTATATACAATGTATGACGTTTTTCAAGTGGATTTCATTGAATTTTCTATGCGACACGTCAATCATTACCACCTTCGTTACCGTTTTTTTTCTCTTGACACTTATCTATTCACATTTTCTTATATGCAATGTTTTTTTGTAATAATTTTAACTACCTAAATAAAACACAATACATATTATTTTTAGATAAGTGCTTGACTTTTGTTTGTCTTTTAAGTCAAAGTGATCAACGTATGATTTTTTCGAAATTACTAAATCCCGCTTTGATCTTATGTTTTAAAGTTAAGTAACTCTCTGACTAATCTTTCTACAGATTTAAGTAGGAAAACACAATTTTCGACCAATCATATATCAGTTATCATAAATTCTTAAAAATGAGAAAGGTTGGGTGGGTTCGTATTTTATTTCAAATAAGGTGTTTGCTGTCCGGCCTATTTCGCAGAGTTAAAAAAGTGAAAACATAGTTACTTGTCATTTTTTAATTTCTAATGCTATGAATTAATTGATTCGTTTCAAATTATTGATTTCCTTATGCGATGGGCCCTTATCTCCACACTCTCGTCTTTTAATAGCATTAGTCTGATGTACTGCATAATTTTAAAAACGCTGGTCCAAGTTCACACCACAAAAAACTATGTTCGATGTAAAGATATTGAATTAAAAAAGCACATTAGTCGTGAGCAGAAAACAATGAAAGAAGCTAAAACTTTCAAGATTTGGAATTGGATATACCATGAACACTTAGTTACAATTATGGTCGTCTTCAAACCTTATATTTTCATAGCAACAAAATAATAATGTGTGGGTTTCCACATACTATACTCGCTTATCAATGGACAGTTGTATTTATTGTTGGCTTCGTAATTTAATAAACTTGAAATGAGAATTCTTTATTCACTAACGGGGTTTCGTAATTAACCACCAATTGTGGCTGATGCAACCCCCAAAGCGAACAAATTTATCTGCATTTTTCTATCTCTTCTAAAAACGGGTATTAACTGAGCAGAGTTCTGGATTATCGTTCATCTTGTGGGTGTAAGCTTCATAATAGAATTTATCTGATTTTCTTAAAAGACGCTCCAAAGACACTTAGAATTGCCAAGATTATTTAAAATAACTTCTGATGGGTTAATTCTAGAGAAGTGTCTGCATAATCTTCATTCTTTTAATATGATCAACCAATGATGTACAAGGAGACCAGAAATAGATAACTTAAAGATATATGTGGAGTTTTGTTCTCTTTAGTTCGATGGTTTTATCGGGAACAAAACTACCAAAATCATCCGCTTAAGCTACAAATCTCCATTTCAAAACCCAAAAATATTCTTTATCGAAACTTAAAGTCCACCATAGCTAGTAGTTACGTATTCACATTTAATCTATCCATTTCAAAATCTGAGACGAAAGCTCCATGATGTCAGTTTATCTTTCAACTCATATTTAAAATTATGCTTATTATACCGTATGTGGGCATTTAAAAAAATAAATAGTTTTGTAATGATTTTAGTATTTTAAACTCGATATTTACCGTTATCCCGATCGAAGCTGCTACCTTGACGCGGTGGTCGGGCTTGCCTATCGTGATGACCCAACCGAGCTATATTGGCTGGAACATATGTTCCTGTAGGTTCTACCATGCCAGGCAGGTCGATTGGAACGGTAAGACTAAAAGCAGCAACTCAAGGTCTGAGGGCGAAGTCGTACTGCTGACTGTAGAGGGTGTGACAGCAGTAAGGTGTTTCCTTCGGACAACCAGCATGACAGCGATGCTGCCTTCCCACAAGGAGGGGTGGGGTTAGAAAAGGTCGACCCTAAAAATGTCACACCTCACCTTACCTCACGGATTTCCGTCTCCGGCGGTAAGGCCCTTTGAAGAACGGAGCTAACACGTCAAAAACCTTCCACAAAAAGGCCGTGCGCGACCGGCCTCAAGCAGTTGTCCCTTGGGCTCTGCGGTCACGCTCCCAGGTCGTCAAGACCAACACTAATCCAATTTCCTTTTCAGGTTCCTCAAGAAATACCCTTCCACGGTGTGGGCAGCCGGGAAGTGACATCAGCCCTCATACCCGTAACAGCACAAGAGACCAAGGTGGTCACATTCAAATCCTTCCTACACCTCCTAATACCTCTCTTATCTCCATGACTAACCCTCCTCACGTCTCTTTATCACCTCGCACCGCTAGGGCAAACGATTCGAGTACGTGGAACGCCATTCCTGGTCTCCTGAAACCACGCTCTAAACTACACGTAGGAGCTTTTAACGTACGAACACTTTGCCAAATAGGACAGCAGGCTTCCTTAGCTAAAACTTTAGAATCTCGCGCCATCGATGTGTGCTGCGTCTCCGAAACGCGCATACAGGATCCGAGTAGCGTCATTCATTTGACCTCACCATGCCAAAATAAAGAACCGACTCGATTTACGCTTCGTGTATCTGGAAGCCCTGATTCTGCTTCCCGTGGCCTCGCCGGCGTAGGTATAGCATTGAGTCCTAGGGCAGAACTAGCTCTCTTAGAGTGGATCCCAGTAGACAGTCGTTTGTGCGCTGTCCGACTGAACGGAACAGTAAGAATCCGGAAAGATAGGGACACTCGTCGTTGCCTCTTCGTCGTCTCTGCCTATTCTCCCACTGACTGCAGCTCAGATGATGTAAAAGATGAGTTTTACAGAAAGCTTTCGGACCTTCTCCGAAAAGCTAGCGCTCGGATGTAGTAATAGTGGCCGGTGACTTTAATGCTCAAGTAGGTAAACTAAGCGATAGGGAAAGACACCTAGGTGGATCTTATGGTGTCGTGGCTCAAAGAACAGATAATGGCGACCGTCTGTTGCAGCTATGCTCAGATAACCGCCTGTTCCTTGCAAATACTAACTTTAAGCATAAGGAAAAACATCTTTTAACATGGCGACCCCGAATTCGTCCCAACGTTGGACCCAAATAGATCACATCGCTATCAGCCACCGATGGAGGGGCTCGATAGAAGACTGTCGCTCATTCTGGAGCACATGCCTAGATTCAGATCATGCTCTAGTGCGAGCGCGTATTTGCTTGCGTCTTACTGGACGTAGGAAAGACGCTGCAAGGAAACCTCTTAGGGCCTACTTAATGATAGTCAAGCTAAGAGTATATTTCAGGAACAACTAGGAAAACAGTTAGGCAGCCATGTATGTGATGCCCACCCCGATGCAGCATGGAATGATATCCGAAAAGCTGTGGAAACAGCAGTGATATCTGCTAGTAAGGTAAACCAGAAGGTTAGGGAGCAACACTGGATCTCAGCAGCATCTATCGCACTGATAGATGCTCGGAAACTCATTCCACCTGGCTCTGAACATAATGAAGAGCGGAGTCAGCTTAAGCGCAAGCTGACAAGAAGTCTACGCAATGATCGCGAACAGTGGTGGGTAGCGAAAGCAAGAGAGATGGAAAAGGCAGCGGCAATAGGTAATAGCAGACAATTGTTCAGACTCGTTAAGGAAACCGGAATTAGGAACCCGACCGTTAGCGAAACAATCTCAGAGAAAGATGGACATATTATTCATTCTCAATCCAGGAGATTGGATCGATGGGCAGAACACTTTAGGGATCAGTTCAACTGGCCTTCAGCCACACTTCGGTTTCCCACGATCTCTAGTCAACCTGAATGGCAAGTTAATGTAGGTCCTCCGTCCCTTTACGAAGTTGAAAAAGCCATAGGAAATCTGAAACGAGGGAGAGCAGCAGGCCCTGACAGGTTTACTCCTGAGATTTTTAAGGATGGTGGTCCAGTATTAGCAATGAGATTAACTGAGGTCTTAGGTAGAATTTGGGAACTGGACGTAATCCCATCTGACTGGTCTCAATCACTGATTGTGCCAGTCTATAAGAAAGGACAAAAGTCCTCTTGTGACAATCACAGAGGAATCAGTTTGACTAATATAGTGTCTAAAATATTAGCTTCAATAATACTTCGACGCCTAATCAAAGCTCGTGAAGAGCAGATTAGAGAAAACCAGGCTGGTTTTCGACCTGGACGTGGTTGTATAGATCAGATATTCACACTACGTCAGGTTCTAGAACACAGACACACATTCAGACGCCCCACAATGGTAGTATTTCTCGACCTTAAGGCGGCATTCGACTCTGTTGATCGTGAGGTTCTATGGCAGTGTTTGTCACTGAAAGGAGTACCAAAGAAGTACATTAACCTTATAAAGGCTCTCTACTCGAACACAACTGGTAGAGTGAGAGCTTATGGCGAACTGTCATCAGAATTGATTACCTCAAGTGGTGTTCGTCAGGGCTGTCCACTCTCCCCATTCTTGTTCAACTTTGTCATCGACGTACTTTTAGAGATAACACTCTCCTCATCTAAATTTCCAGGGGTTGAACTTCTACCGGGAGGTTCACTTGTTGACTTAGAATATGCTGATGACATAGTTTTATTTGGTGAAGACGCTGACAAAATGCAGAGTCTTCTGACCACTCTAAGCAACAATGCAAGCATGTTCGGGATGCGATTCTCTCCCTCGAAATGCAAAATGTTGCTTCAGGATTGGGTTACATCGACACCCGAACTAGTGATAGGGAGTGAAGTAGTTGAGTGTGTCGACCGCTTCACTTATCTTGGAAGTCTCATCAGCCCTTGTGGTTTAGTGTGTGACGAAATCTCAGCACGGATACAGAAGGCTCGACTAGCTTTTGCCAACTTGCGTCATTTATGGCGTAGGC